CCAAGAAACATTCTAACATTAAGAAAAAAAAATCTGTGTCTACTACAAAATTAAATATAAGTGATATCGCTGTCTAGAATAAATTAATACATACTCTATAATGGCTTTATTGATTACGAACCTGAAGAAATCGAATGTATCAGGTTTTTATAAGTTGTTCTTATATTGAAATAGTATTTTAAACATTTAAGGTGCGAAAATCAATCTATTGAAATAAGTTTAACAATAGGAATCGGAACATGAAAATGTCAATTCTTTATTTTTTAAAATATTTCATTTGTCGTTGGCCTTGAAAATCTAAAAAACAATTGGACTGGCTAGGGCTGTTCTCACTGAACTATACGTGCGGTGTGAATCGCTTTACGATCAGCGCGATCAGATACCGGCCTTCCATTACCGGCCGTCCGGAACGAATGCGATACGGCCTTTTTGTAAATTAATTTCATGTGGGTAATTGCTGAAAAACAGGAGAATGGAAATGTTTTTCCAGTGGAGATATGAGGTGTTGTGTTTTTACTATTTGGTTATTGGCAGTTAATTTGTTTTATTGGGTGTTTACTGTACTTTCAGGGTTATATCGTGTTTTATTTTATGATCCAATGTAGGTGTTTAATAATGTTAGGCTTTACATATAGTAACCTAATTTGTTTTCTGAGGTATGGAAATATTTTTCTTGTAGATCAACTGATGACTGTCCAGTCAAAAGTAGAAATAGACAGTAATTCAGGTATTCTAGCGAAAAATCCTCTACAAGACTGAAAGACTTGCCGGCTAAGTGTGTTTATCAGAAAAACTACACGCGCGCGTCAAAATCCTTAATGAAAATTTGTATTTTTATTTTATTGTTTGGGAAACAAACAGCATTCTTAACACAAAGCCTACTAACAAAGTTTTATTTTTATTTTTTATTCCTTATAAATGGTTAAGGGTTGGAAAGCTTATTCATTAACTAGCTTTCCGCCCGCGGCTTCGCCCGCGTGGAATTTTGTCTGTCACAGAAAAACTTTACCGCGCGCGTCCCTGTTTCAAAAACCGGGATAAAAACTATCCTATGTTCTTTCCCGGGACTCAAACTATCTCTATGCCCAATTTCATCAAAATCGGTTGCGAGGTTTAAGCGGGAAAGCGTAACAGACAGACAGACAGACAGACAGACAGACAGACAGAGTTACTTTCGCATTTATAATATTAGTTGGGATTAAATCAAATGCACGTGCAATCACGATACACCTGTAAATTCTCCATTATGGTAAAAAGTCACCCTGTATTAAGGTTCTGACTATCCGAGCATTAAGGTGCAATTTATAGTTTCCTTCGGAACCCTGGCTGAATAGTAAGCGTCCTATCTCACGTAGTGATGTAACGAACGGAAGTATCGATAGTTTAATCGACCCCTCTTAATAGCATCCGCACGCGAAGGCATTTTGACGCGAAAGGAAAAAGTTTTTGCTATTCCATTGTGAATTAAATTTCGATATGTTTTATTGTTCAAATACAGTGTGTAGGTGTTACCGATCATAACTATGCATTATAATATGAAGTATAAAATAATATTTAATTTCAGGCACCTTTTAGTTTTGTAAAATTATTTTAACCTACATACCCATAGTTCTACTTATAAACTCCGACAAAAACCCTAATAACAGTAATAAAAAATACAGTCGTTAATTTAATACTAAAGTTTCAGAATAGCTTCATTTTTTTATTTCGGTCAAGGAACCTGAATAATTTTAAAAGAGAAATCTATACTAATATTATAAAGAGGAAAACTTTGTTTGTTTGTTTGGTTGTAATGAATAGGCTCAAAAACTACTGGACCGTTTTTAAAAATTCTTTCACCATTCGAAGGCTACATTATCCACGAGTAACATAGGCTAAATTATATTTTGGAAAAAATTGGGTTCAGGGGTCCACGCGCGCGAAGCCGCTGGCAGAAAGCTAGTGAGTAATAAGTTCCTTACAATACAAACTTTCATTCCATCTTTCATTTCTCCAAGTTTTTCTTTGTATAGTTAAAAAAAGAATGGTTTCATTTTCCTAACTCTAATTCCATTCGACATGAAATTACAGAAAATATAAAATATTTTTCATGATCATCATCATAGGTTAACTTTTCAAAAAGTTTTTAAACTCGCTAGTTAAGGCTATTACTCTGTAGCTCGTATAAGTGTTAAAGTAAAATTAAAGTTGGTCCGTTACCAGGAACTTTGCGAACTATTGCCATAGGGAAAACCCTTGCTTGGAACATTTTATCAGCGACATGCCACGTATTAACTTCGGAAACTTGGTAAAGATAACATTAATATCATTTTAAAAACGTCTGTGCTAGTTGGAAAAGTTTTAAAGTAACTTTCAGAGTTAAATGTTACTTACTTAAACTCAACAAAGTATTTCTTATTTTCGAAGCACAGAATTTTTAAGACAGTCAAATCGAGAACCCATTCTTAGAAAAACACACCACTTTATTTGTAAACCTATATCTCATCTGGGTATCGAACCCAGTTTAATCGAGCGATTTTAATTTTCTACACTCCAAAATATCTTTAAACCCGAACACTACCTATAAAGCGGGCCTGTATAAGGCGACAGTGAATAAGCACTTACAGGGCAGATATTATGTAAGACACGTTTCACGTAACATCAGGTGTGATTGCGGTCAAATACCTGACGTATTCTGAATTTAAAAAAATACTCGTATGTACACGGAATTTTTAGTGAGGTTCCAAAACAAAATGTTTCAAAAATATCGATATTTATTTCCCTTCCCTATCAAGCGCTAGTGCCGGTAAAATGCTCCTCGACCGCTATAATTCAGGCGCAAAGCAATAAAATGATAGAATATAGGTAGTAAGGCGAGTAAATCTCCAGTGAGCATTCCTCCCAGTGTTTGCAAGAATATTCACATGATCGTGAACGCTAGAAATATTTTTAGATTTTAAATGTATGAGAAAATTCTTATACTGGAAATTCGTTGGTGCAGCGCTGCAAGCATTGTCTTTTACTATAAAACAGTCTGCTTTCAGTGAAGACTTGCGTATTTTTTCCTACTATACATATAAATCAAGCCAAAGAGTCATTGAACCAATTTCAGAATCTATTTTCAGTTGCTCTCCCAAGAATATTAATTCATAAAGATTAGTATTATCTTCTTCTTCTATGTCTCGACATCTTCGCCTGCTGAAGTATCCAAAATTCATCAAAATTGGTGTGACTTGTACTTAAATACAAAAAAAAAACGAACCGGCATATCTACTTGGTAAATAAATCCATTTCCACACAACTTCAGTTTAACAAAAGAAATGTATAATTAATAAGGCAAATCAGCAAAACTACGTATAACACGCCTACTTGCCCGGCCATTACGCGTAATGCCCGCGATTCGTCTGGGCAATGCGCGGAATGACGCGGGCAAAACGAAATGTCCCCACTTAAGTACAGCTTGTGGAGTACAGCCAGGAAACTATGCCATTTGTCAACACGTTCTTTGTTGGCATTTGATCATAGTACACATTAAGGGTTTTGAAGTAAGAAACATTGTGATGTTAGTCTCTGCAATGTTTTTATTTCGGCTGGCTTTTCTGGTAAATCAAGATGCAAGCCTATTTTGAAGATTGTTTTCTCCTATAGTACAACTAGGAAATAGAGTCAGCCCATTCTTTGTTGGTTGGTTGTTCTTTGTATAATAGTCTTACACAATAATTAGTCAGTCATGAAGAAAGGAACATTCTGATGCGAGGCTTTGGAAATTGCTTTTTGTTTCGGCAGGCTTTAGTGATAAACCAAAACGCATTTAGAAAATACTTTGCCAATGGCAAAGCCCGCATTAGTTTAGTTTGTCATCATTGTAAAAAAGTCATACTGTTTTATGCTGGCTGTTCTATCTTGACTGTGATAAGTACATTAATCTAAGGCAAAAGCGTGGCAAAAGGTACCCTTGTGGTACTTAAATTATTCAACAACTTAAAAACATTTTTGTGAATACAACAGTGAAGTTTATCGCGTCATTGAACATTGAACAGGCTACCTATACAAGTAATATTAGAAAATTATACAAATATACAGACGGCACATCAAGCTTAAAATTGTGGCCCTTAAATGTCAAGTCTCTAATTAGGTAACGACAATACAAACGACACAATCCAAAACGAAATAAGACAGTAACTCCGAGTAATTTACTCACCATATTAACGATGTTACTATTCCCTTCTACTACTATCAGTTCAGTGTAACCATCAAAGAGGCAGTTTAATTAAAATGGTGGTGAGTGGGTTCGAGTGAGCTTCAAATTAACCCGACCTTAACCCGGCACTCAGCTCGAGCTGCACTTATTTAACGGCGGAAAATCAACTGAAACTTTACTTGGCAAGGCTTGGAGAAGGTGCAAAATCGTATTGAGAAAATGAGTAGACTGGAAAAGAAAAATCGTTAGGTTCTGCATTAGAATGTTATTTGTTCCGTGGGTGAATCGATTATGAAACTTTTTGGATGAAAATTCTAGCCACAATCTTTTTTAACTGGATTTGCTTTAAACTATTTATGAGTAGGTAGGTTCATTAAAACCGACTTTTAAATGGAACAGACGCGTAGACGTGTAAAGTCCTTATTGTAGCCGTAACGAAACAATAATAACTTATAGAACCTGTCAAATCCAAGAAATCATTTTTATATTTAACGACTACCTAATAACATTGATCAGTTATACGATTTGTGATTTTATTTTGAGACCTCGACACATTTACAAAAGTTGTAGTATTTCCGAATCAGAATCAGATCTAACAGGTTTTTTTAGATACTGTCAGGTTAGGAAATTCATAGAATCCGTTGCGTTCATGATGATACCTAACAATATTAGCGCGCGTCGAGTCTTGAAGACGCATAGGAAAGATTGAAAAAGCCTTAGCACGGCAACACAAATCTCAGTTGCTGCATAACGTTGTCCTAATGAAATATAACCCTTTAAGTCCTGACTGGCCTGTCTCACCAATACCGTTTCTCCACAGCACGGCAACGCGACGACATCAAGCGAGACGTCGGTGGGCACGAACACAGCGACGGGAGCGACCCCATCAGCAGGGCCCAGCAAAGCGCCCCCTGCTGCCAAGTTCCGCCACGGTCTGCTGCAGCTAATGATACACACCATCGACCCCATGCACGACGGTGAGTTAGGTACGCACCGCGCTTCGCTTCACACTTCACTCGAGCTGGGACGCCGTCGGGCGGGCGATGGTCGTGATGGTCGATGGTCTTTTGTTTTTGAGTTTTATTTTATCCAGCCAGTTGTTTATTTGTTGTCATATTTCCAACTGTCATTTTATTTTTTTATCGCTTTCGTTTTTTCCATGTTCTTTTTTATATTCAGCCAGGTACCTTTAATAATCCGATTTCGCACTGTCCTTGTTTATCGATTTCGTAAATGAGGTTAAATCTTGCAATAGTCAACTTTACTATTCAAGATTTAACCCTGATAAATGCGACGTAAGTTCAAAATTAGTTTTCTGTAAAATGTGAAAATAATAATAAATATTCACATAAGACAAATACCTAAATACGGTGGCAATTATTAGTAATAACTCTAAATATCTTTCTTCATCAAGTATTTTACGATACATTATTTTTCATCCTTCAAGTTATACCTACCTGTGACGAAGAAAAAAAAACTAATAATGTAAATTTTCAGCTACTCTTTACGTGACCTTTACTTAGTCTGAAGGATTAGACATTTTCTTTGTGAAGTTCCAAATTTATTCTAGAAAGTCCAGTCTGTAAATACATTTTCTTTTTCAAAGCTTAAATAATGAGATTGAAAATACACAAAATTGTTTCCTCAGCATAATTTTTACCTAATCTCATTTCATAAGTACCTATCCAATATTTTTTGCGAAATCGGACAAATACTACGTCTCTTAGCTACTACGTCTTTTGGCTAACAAAGCCCCAATTCGATCCCCTTATTTCTGATACCCCTTCAATCCAATCCATTTCAGATTTAATTTAATTAACCAGAGACTATCTCGATCCATTTTAGAAATTCGATGTTCAAATTCAAATTTTAAAAAATCATTTGATATTCGAAACTCGAATTGAATCGTAAAGAGCTCGTTCACCCGACGGCAGAACAGATCAGCCTATCTGGTGCCAAGTGGCGAGGCGGCCAAGGAGACACGCCCAGCAATGAACTGGCAAAGCACGCCAAGTACAGCTTATCAATGTCGATTTCCATCCGAGGTAAGTTTAGTGGTTTTTTTACTACTTTTCGTGTATTCGTGTTCACGAATCCGCTTTCTCCCCACGTTTCACTGGTCTAACTGAAGTTCACTGCTTACGTTTTTTGTACAGAAATACTGTTGTTATTTGTACCTATTTTTTATTGTTATTAGGTAACTAGCGGCCGCCCGCGACTTCGTACGCGTGGATCCCGTTTTACCCCCTTCATCTATCTTACGCGGTTTAGATTTTTTCATATAAATGTTTTTTCCCGCTAACTCCCGTTCCCGTGGGAATTTTGCAATATCCTGTTGTAAATAAGCTTTAAAATTACTAAGATACCTGCATGCCAAATTTCAAGCGTCTAACTTAAGCGGTTTAGATTTTTTCATACAAATATTTGTTCCCGCTAACTCCCGTACCCGTGGGAATTTTGCAATATCCTGTTGTAACTAAGCTTTAAGTTTACTAAGATATCTGCATGCCGAATTTCAAGTGTCTAACTTAAGCGGTTTAGATTTTTTCATACAAATGTTTTTCCCCGCTAACTCCCGTTCCCGTGGGAATTTTGCAATATCCTGTTGTAACTAAGCTTTAAGTTTACTAAGGTACCCGCATGCCAAATTTCAAGCGTCTAACTTAAGCGGTTTAGATTTTTCACACAAAAGGATTTTCCCGCTAATTCCCGTTCTCGTGGGAATTCCTAAGTATCCTATAACCTGCTCAGGAGTATGAAGAATAATTGTACCAAGTTTCGTTAAAATCCGTCGAGTAGTTTTTGTTTCTATAAGGAACATACAGACAGACAGACAGACAGACAGACAGACAGACAGACAGACAGACAGACAGACAGACAAAAATTTTACTGATTGCATTTTTGGCATCAGTATCGATCACTAATCACCCCCTGATAGTTATTTTGAAAATATATTTGATGTACAGAATTGACCTCTCTACAGATTTATTATAAGTATAGATAGAATACTATAATTTACTATTCTTGTATTTAATACACTAGCTTAAATAATTTATTTATCACTTATTAAGGTCAGTTTCACCAATCACAAAACTTTAAAATGTAGTAGGGTAAACCGTATAGCTATTGCCCACTTAAAGATTTCAAACACATGAAGATGAAAAATTAAAGAAAGTACTATAATTATCGACCATTTATGACTTTTTTCTTATAACTCAATAAACTGTTAAACAGAATATTAACAGTTTTTAGTTAAAACTTACGTAACTTAGAAAATATTGAACTAAATTTAAAATCCTCCAAAAAGTACAGTCATTGCCCATTACTTACACTAATTGCCCACATTAAAGCACAGTAATTGCCCAGTTTCTTAAAACAAAACAATCAATTTTAAAATGACAAAATAGGCTTAAATAAACAAAACAAAACATTAAACTTAAATTCTAGTAGTACAGTCTTCAAAATTTCAAAATAAATTGCGTTTGGCCTTATTAACTATATTATCAAATATTTCTTAAGCTGATGTTGATGACTCAGAATCGGTAGAGACAGAATCATCTACTTCAAAACATAGACGACGCAAAAATTTTAATTTTATATGTAGATTTTATATGTATTTATTTTTTATCTTCTTTGATATCAGTTCAAGTGGTTGCTCAGAATGTTCAATTAGCTGTTGGTTATTCTTCCCCAAAGTTGTATCGATTTCCGTACGATTAACATTTTCACTAGTAGATTTAACGTAGGATTTTCATTTTTTGTATTTATTGCGTTTGAATTTTTATCAATTTTTTCAAGCCATATCATATTTTTCAGCAATTTATCTTGTAGATAAATTGTTGGATACATCTTGTACAGCTTCGATCGCTATTTGCAAATTTTCTATGCTATATTGAACTTTTGGAGTCTTTGGCATACTGAAAATGAAACATTAAAAGCCATTTCAATATTTATGCCTGTAAATTGCAAAACAAGTCTAGCAATGAGCAACTTAAACACTGCTACTGCATGGTGGCAACACTCTAATAATAATTGCCCTGGGCAATAACTATACATTAACAAATGGCAATAACTGAAATGATGGTGGGCAATAACTAAAAATATACAGATTTACGTGCAGTGATTACCCACCGTTAAAATGACCGTTAGAAATCAAATTTTATCAGTTATTTTCATTGACAATAGAGGAAACACTTATAATTTCATCATAACTGTACACCATTAGTTGAATATTAAATAACTTGCAAAAAAAATTTAACCTCTAAGAAAGTAATTCCTTAGTAAAATTGTTAAAGTCTTTACCTGTTTGAGTATTTTTCACCCGTCTTGACAAAATCCGTCATAACTGTTTTTTTTAGTGTTTCCTATTGTAAATTTTAAATCTACTGTACATTGATCTCGGAGCCATCTACTTAGTAAATTCAAATCTAACTAGAGTGATTCAAAGTCAGCTCCTGACAATATTAGGTATTCTTAAAGCGGGCAATCACTACCAGTGGGCAATCACTCTCTGGTTTACCCTACCTAGCCTATTTCATAGTTATATGTCGTAACATTTGAAAAATAAAGTAGCTTGTGGAATGATGGTGAAAAAGACCGTAATTAATCTTTTAATACTTATTTTAACACAATTCTTAAATTGTAAGTAGGTAGGTAGTTTAAAACTCAAATTTTCTAAAAACTAAGTTTTAAATAGCTTGCTAACAAACCTAATTAGTGAACTGAAAATGTTCTTTGTTAATTTCAGCAAAACTAATTTTCACATTAATAAATTAATTTTCAATTCAGCATAATTTGTGGTAGTGTCCTAATGAAGCTCGTTATTTATTCTTCTTAATTATTTCATTATTTCTTCAGCTTTGAAACGCCTTAAAATTCACAAAGGGTTGGGCTTTGCTCAAGTTATTTCTCTTAAGTATTTTTATTCAAATTTTCATTATTTTAGGTAGATTAACTAAAATCACGAACATTTTTACTTAAATTTTGTTTTAGGCCAATATTCTGAAAAAACACTCAACGTTTAGAGTGAACATTATTATTATCATGAAGCAGAATATTTCGCCATAATTTCAGAGAATCAAGCTTGTGATTGGTCGAATTTAAATATTGAAACTTGAGCCTTATTATTGAGTATTGAATTCATACTTGAGCGTCTTTTCAGAATACAGCCCTAAAATATAATTAGAGTTTATTACATTATTTAAACTTTATTTGACTAAAACTCTTTAAACTTTTGTATAATAATGGAACCTGTATGTATTTCATTACAATGTTTGATTGAGTAATGAGTAGAATATTATGTAGGTAAATACTTATCAATCCAGAAAATCAGAACAGAAGAACATCATCAGAAGAAAGAAAACAGAAGAAAACCAACAGTCTCAGGCATTAGTAATATAAAGTACTAAATTTTTAATTAATGACGTACTTTTCATTACTAAACCCTGCGGCTGTAACTTGCCTCAATCGAAGACAGAAGAACATACAGAAGAATATGGACTTAAGAAGAATACAGAAGGTTTCGGAATCATTCATCATTATGATTTCAGGATTTCAGCCACAGGACGTCCACTGCTGGACATAGGCCTCCCCCAATGGTCTCCACATCGCCCGGTTGGTAGCGGCCTGCATCCAGCGCCAGATTTTTTGTCAGAATATTAGCAATTACTTACACTGTTAACAATAAGTTTGTCTGTACCCCATGTATGAATAATTGATATTATTAAGGGTTTCAAGTTAAATGGAATTGATGACAGTTTCTGATACATAGTTATTAAAGTTTATAATTTTCAAATTAGTTTCTGATACATTTCTACCGATTGTGACTTGTTGGCCATTCTACAAAACCCTAAATTTTTGTATTAAAGTACTCGTCCATTTGACTTGAAAGCCACGATATCTTAAAGTTGACTGTGTTAATTAATTAAAAGTCAAAAACATAATGGATTTGGACTTTAATATTGTATGTACTTACAAATTGACTAATTTACAAATAACAAAATGGAAGAAATACTTCATAGAAAATGCTAATTAATCCTTCAAGGCCCGCGAATCTAGACACAATAGATAATCAATTGTTATGACATTAATGAATGCCGTCTGGGACTCAAGCGGTTAAACGCTAAGCTACTCTTTAAGCATAGGGTTGCTACAGTTCCAATAGAAGTACCTATTATTTTGATTGACATGCCATTGACCCTCCACATAATTATTGCTTTCTTAACTCGATACTAAGTCACCTTGGTCGTTCTGACCCCACCTTGAACTCGGAATATGCTATTGATCCCGCATCGTGGTTGAAACATATCTCCTTACATTTATTATGCCTGTCTGATTCGATATTTGATAAGCATGCGAAATGTAAATAGAAAAAGATTTGGAAAATGCCACAATTTTACGATGACTGGATTCTTGGAAATTGGTAATGCAGATGCAATCTCACTTAACATCAGGTGCAATTGCGGTCAAATACCTGCCTATTTCTTCACAAAGAAAATATTAACTTTTGTAAATTAAAAAAAAAAGACACTAAATAATAAACGATTATAATAATAAAATATAAAAGTAACTAAGTTTCTTGCACTTGATTGTCCGGAAGCAGTGGTAGGGTCAAAATGTATATTGAGAAAATAATGTAAAAGTGACTGAGTTTCTTGCGCTGCTTCTTCTCAGCACTGGCCCATTTATTGTCCCGAAGCAGTGGTAGGGTTAATACTGGGACGTGTAAAAGTGCTTTTTAAAAGCTTACTTGCAAAAGTAAAATAAGTTAGAAACCGCTTTTTGATTTACTTAAAGTGCATTATATTATCATACCAATAGTATTTTATCATCATCATACGTAAAAGTCTTGGGAAAGTCAGAAAATCCAAATCGACGAATTTCTTTACAAAGATTTTGTCAAAATTTTAACTTATAATCGCAATCCTTCAGTACTGAAGGATCATACAAAGGGATGATTACCATCTTAAGCGGTATTATGAAAAGATTCTCTTTTTATGAAGCTATTAGGCAGATAAGACTGCCTTTATTGTGATGTTAATATTTGCAAGTCCTTCATCACAGTGGAGTAGGTACATAGAGTATCGGATTCTTTAATTTTTTCGTAGGAATAAGTACAAAATACATCATCATACACAATTATAAGAAAAAACGTTTTTATTGACAGTTGAACGAATATTTGTAGTTAGACTTCTACAAGTCAAGTACTAAAATTGTAGAGATTAATGACTAGAAATTACTGCTTTTAAAAGCTCTTTTTACGTTTAATTATTCACTTCTAAAAGAACTTTCACTGAAACTAAGTATTAGTTCTGAAAATTACCCTATTTTTGGACGTCAGTGTTACAAATGGTTCTCCAGAGGTTTTAATTTATTTTTGTCAGGAAGGCTAACACAATTAACATAATTAAAAAATACATCAAGTAAATAAACAAAATTGTCTGTCCGTTTCCACTGCTTATCCCAAAGTTTTGTAATTATGTCATTTGTTAAAAAATATTTTTAAAGTAGATCACAAATTAGTCCTGCCTGATCCAGACAAGCTGGAAGAAAACTTGAATATCATTTTACCTTGCTTGTAAAGCATAACGTAATTTCACAAAATGGTCACGTCTATTCCAAAGATGAAAACCATTTCACGAAACGGGGATATGCTTGCAAAGCTCAGCTTTTTCTTGGCTCATTTTGCAAGACTCAAGTCGGAACAATCTAGCTAGACCATCTAGATCTGAAATATACGCCCGTATTCACAATTTACTATGAGGTCTCACAGTGCGCGTGGACGCACAGGGTGACACGCGAACCAATCACAAAGCTCTATTCAGCGCTGTGCGTTCTTTTTAGATTTTTAGTAATTATTTATTACACAAATCACTAATGTCCCGTTAGCCCCTCGTACTAAGCTCAATATGCTTGTATCACGAGTGAGCTCACCACAATAGTCGAGCGGCGGCGGGGACCGAACCCGCGTTCCCCGGATCACGAGTCGGCCAGTCCAACCCCTTCACCGTTCGGCTGTCGTAGCTTCTTCTTTACTAAAGGTTCAGTCAAACCGACGCGATCAGCCGGCGTGCAGCGATGGCGATCAATGCATTTAAGTCTGGTCGCCATCCCTGCACGCCGGCTGATCGTGTGTGATCGCGTTGGTTTGGCCGAACCTTTAAGCAAGCATCATTTGTGAATACGAGCGATAGTTAATTGTGGCGGTCCCGAGAACTCGTCAACTAACCATCTGACAAGCGCCAAACAAAATTAATTTAAAAGCGGCGAACTCGAAGTAGGCCGTACCATAATAGCATTGCGATGTAGAGCACATCAGCCTTCACATTTGTTGCAAAACAGTCCCTATTGCCTACTACATAAAGTGCCACAGTGTTAATCTTGTAGGAGGCCTAAGTTTGGTGTGTGGTGTGTAGCCTTCCTACTTTTCAGTGTTGAGGAGAGGTAGTTGAAGTAAAACTCAATTGCTGGTTCAGAAGGGAATAATTTATTGGCGAAACAATGCCATATTTATTTACAAAACTTATGTACAACTAGACTACCTAAGCAACCATACATTTTGACCAATCGCCGTTTGATGTTATATTCTTGTCGTCTCGCTCCCACGATGTCTCTCTGTCACCGGGTTCGCGCAGTGTTCCGAGTGCGGCGCGAGTCTTCTGTCTCGCTCTCACGCTACCTCCTTGTCGCGCGGCGCGCGCGCGGAGTGCGAGGGGAGGTGTCGACTGGAGTGCCCGCTGCCCCCAGCCTCGATCTTTTCGACGGCGGGCAGCGGCGCAGGACGCACGCGTGTACCGGAGCGCGACGCGGCGCGTGCCCACGCGGCTCGCCGCTCCACGCGTGGGCGTTGGTGATGCTGCTTGGTGACAGTGGTGCGAGCGGTGCTGGTGCTGCGATGAGGGACGGTGCGACGTGCAGTGGTCACAACGAAACAGCTCTTCTCAGAGCTATGCAACGGCTCTTGTCAGGGCCACATTCCTGTTTCTATTATGATGACCAATGTGGTGTTTCTGTGCTGAAAGTTGCTTGTGGCTTCGGCTGCAAACATTCATTGTTTCGATTCGAAGACGATTTTTATTGTGGTCGCTGGCGGCTACAGTACTCCCCCTCAAGCGAAGCGTACCGGCAGCTTGATGACTCGCCCTGCTCGCGTCGTGCGGGGGGCAGGGTCGCGCTCGGGCTGGCGGGCGGCGGGGGCGGCGCGAGCGTCGCGCTCGCTCCGCGCGGGCTGGCGCGCGTCGGGCGCATCGTTGTCGTCGGCGGGAGCCGGTTGCTGAGCGGGAGCGGCGAGTGCGGTGTCTTCAGTGTTCATAGTGTAGGCCGGTTTCAATCGATCGATCGAAATCGTGGCTTCTCTTGCAGGTAACTGTAGTGTGAAATATTTGTCGTTTCTTCGAAGCACGGTGTAGGGTCCGTCGTAGGGTGGCTGTAGCGGTTTTTTCACGGCGTCGACTCGTACAAAAACTTGTTTGCACGATTTCAGGTCTGGGTGCACGAAGATTGAACGAGTGCTTCCATGCGAACTCGTTGGCGTCGGTCGTAGTTTGTTGATAGTGGCTCGTAGCTTCTCGACATAGGTGTAACCCATGGAGTCGTTCGCGATTGATGGGACGAAGAAATCGCCTGGTAGCCGTAAGTTGTGCCCAAGCGTGAGTTCAGCTGCACTCACACTGTCGTCGGTCCTGACGGCTGCACGGAGTCCAAGGAGGATTGTTGGTAGTTCTTCGACCCAGTTGGTGGTTGATAGGCGAGCTCGAAGTGCGGTCTTCATGCATCGATGCCAACGTTCGACGATGCCGTTGCTCTGGGGATGGTAGGGCGTGGTGCGAATCTTCGTGATGCCAAACAGCTTGGTGAGCTCTCCGAACAGGTGACATTCGAATTGTCGGCCTTGGTCGGTAGTTATTCGTGTCGGGCATCCAAATCTTGCAATCCATTGTTCATAAATAATCTTAGCAATTATTTCAGCGGTGATCTCTTGTATTGCGTGTGCTTCTGGCCATCGTGTAGCACGGTCGATCATTGT